TTTGCATTTTCTCAGTGCTGTGTCCGTGATTTCTGCATCCTCTTGGATACATGCTGCTTAAAGTCTGGTACCTGGTCACTACCTTTTTATAAAGTCCCGACCTCTCCTGCACGCTGTGCCCAGGAACATCCCGAACACAGCAAAATAAAATGAGGCCTGTACAATGAGTCTGTACATTGTATTTTAGGAAAACCCTGCATAGAATACCCTTAACAATGCTTATGTGTTTGTGGAGTTACAGCGATTTACTGGTTTCAAGGTATACTGTGATATAAAAGTTGGCCGTTGTCATACTGTGTACATTTGCTCATCTATGATTTGGAATAAAAAGTGCAGCTGGACAATGAATCCCTTTACTTTAGTTATTTTCTATGGGGAGACTTTTTACACATACTTTGAATAAAAAAATGGTTTCAGTTTCAACTTCGTTTTCATTCCTTTATGGGTCATTCTGACTGATAATACTTTCTTTCTGTAATACTGTGATAACATGAAACTGCAGTATTTTCTGAGACTGCTATCGTACCATGAAAATCTCATACAGTTGCAACCCTGTGTTTCATTAATGAACCAACGTATGACATTATGTGCTCAGAGGAACAAAGCATACTTTAAGCTCTACACATCAGGCGTCTCTCTTCTCCCTATACATTCAAAGGTGCACTTACCATGCATATGCCATCCCTAACAGCCCTGTGTATCCTGTAACACATCATCACAGACAGTGCTCTTGTATTACATCAGCAACAGTAGCTTTAAATTGCATTAAAGGTCCAGTGTACACAGGAGCACATCCTATAGACAGAGAAAGCAATTACATTATGGGTGCTTGGGAGACTAACAGGACAACCTCGGATGACAAAGTGACAAAGTGTGCAGGATGCATTCGTCTTGGTAAGTATTCGCCTTTCAAAGCTTATTCTGACCTCTGACCTCCTTGTGTGGTGCAGCAAATGCTTCTCTTACGGCAAAGTATCACATTATCTTAAAATACACTGATACACTCTACAAATCAGTATCTGTATCAAGGGTTTTACCCAAGTCTGGAAGAGTTTCAGACAGTATGCCAATATGACTTCCTACCTATTGAGTAAACAGAAAGAGCAAGGCAACATCCTCCTCAGGTCCTTGTCCTTTGTTGACTCACCATAGTAACAAAGATTGGGAGAGGATGAGTAATCATTCCAACAGGATCTCAGCGTGATCTAAGCAGCTTTGTAGCTAGGTGGAGCTAATTTGCTAAAGAAACTCACGTTTTGAAAGAATGCGGGTACAAGGCAGTTCGGTTTCACTCTGAGAAGCAAAAAAATATAGGCGAGGATACCGAAGAGACTGACGACCATAACAGGGAATGTGACTATGATTTACAAACAAGCAGAAATTATATAAGTAGTGTTAACGAGAACTACAAACAAACGAATTTGCTTATGCATATGGGAGGACAATTTAAAAGGTAAAAACCTGAATAAAAGAGGAAAGGCACATTAAATCCAGATACTTCTGCATTCCAGGGCTCACTGAACAGTTTGGTGAATATGAAAATGACGTGAATAAAATGCTACACCCTTCTCAGACACCTGATCTCAACCCAGTTAAACACCTATGGAAGATTCTGGAGCAACGTGTGAGACAACTCCGTTCACCGCCATTTCCATAAGACCAAGTTATATAAACTTTCATCTTCATATTACTGACGTCTGTCTCTGATGGTTTCCTTATGTTATATCTTGCTATGTTTGCTTTTCTTTCTATCTGCTGTACTCAGGTACATATATAAATAATATAAATATATAAATGAGGGAATATCTTGTGGTCAAATGTTGCTCATCCCTCCAACAGAGTTCCACAGACTTGGCAAGGTGCACTGAAGCTGTTCTGGAGGCTCCAGGTGCCCTGACTCCATACTAACACACTTCATGTTGGTGTTTCCTTTTATTTGTCACCCATCATATCATCCTTATAAACATGTCAGTTTACATGAACACCTTACTAAAGCGTACAAACCGGTGAATCAAGACTTTCTGGTCTCATTTAAATGCAAAGGTACGAGTCATTCTTAAGTGATCCATGAAGTCATCTGTCTCAACTACAAGGGCTAATCATTAATCATCTTGAGACATCCTCGCCTAACCACTTTTAATTCTACTAGATGGAAAACATATATTCTTAAATTGCATGTCCAGGGTTTACAAAAGAGACTAAGACATTGTCTTGAAATAATCTGCCAAATATCTACCATGCAAGTCTTTACATACATATAGCCTAATAAACCCAGATTCCAAAAAAGTTGGGATGCTATGTAAGGCGTGGATATAAACAGAACACAATGAAACACATTTAATGTTAAAACTGATAAAACTTTGCTTTCTGCATATATACACTCATTCTGATTTTGATGCTTGCAACAGGTTCCAATAAATTAGGGACAGGGGCATGTCTACCAGTGTGTTGCGCCACCTTCTCTTAACAACTCCCCGTAGGCGTTTGGCTTCTTCACGCATTACTACTACAATAAATTACTACTGGTGGTACTTTTCTATTTCTTTATCAGTGTGAATGTATTGAGTTAATAAATCTACACTGATTTATTGAGTTAATACCAATGTCTGATCTATATTTCATATGAATAGCTGCATTGTAAAAATGTGTAATGGGAACAATTTTGACATGCTGAATAGTTATTTTCCCCACTGTATGTCAAAAGATTTGCAAATCATTGCCTTCTGTTTTTATTTACGGCGTACACAGCGTCCTAACTTCTTTGGAATTGAGGTTGTAAATGTGCAAAATACGAATATCCATTTATGTGCCAAGAAGAGTAAAATTGTATCTACAACATATATGAACTATAAATGGTGGGGAGGGGGCAGACCTCTACCAAGGCCAAATGCCCTACCTCGTGATGTTAAAGGAAGTAAAAAAAACTGTGTGTATCCTCCCTGTGACAACAAACAAACAAACAAAACAAACAAAACACTGGTGGTAAACGACACTAACCAATTACAGTATATTAAAGCATGTAATGAGGTTTCATGCTGGTTCTTAATGTTATTATGAAACTCCAAACATAATGTTACCAGGCGGATCAAACAGAGTCTATAGGCAACGCCCACATTGTGTGCCACCTATTACTAGAGCAAGGAATTGTGCGGATGGCATGATCTCCTTTCCTCTCATAAAGGATGTTTCTGTGTTAAGCTATAGGAGACAGGAAAAATAATCACAGAAGCTCTGTTCTTTGGCATTTGGAAAAACTGTTAAGGTTAGGCACGGCTGTTAATTTGCCTTTTTTTGGAGATTAATTATACTATATGGGTTTGGTTGTAGTGAAGACGAGGGTCACAATTTGTATGGACTTTGTTTAAAACAGTATTTTCTGAACTGGTTTTCCTCGCTTCTAGCCTTAAACATTTTGGTGCTACAGTAACATAGGTATTCCAGTCCAAGCCTGTAAGCAGCTTTCGGATTATCATGATTGCACATGGACTCATTTTAGGGTAACCTATATAGGGCAAGAGATCCTTTTTGATTGACATTTTTTTGACATCATTAGGCCCTTACAGGCTCCCATAGAAGCTACTGTCTATGTGAAAGTCCATTTTGCATTGCAAAGACTCAGAGATTAAAAATGTCGCCTATTGTTATCATTAGGTTAATTGACCTGGAAGAGCCGGAGGACCAGATGACCCGGTCTGGCTCCTGCTGTGCTATCTGTTATTCTGCCCAGCTGAGTTTATGGGAAAACGTGATGATGTCATCTTGACTTTGCAGTACGGCTGATTAAGCCAAAACTACACATGAACACAGTCGTGGTCCTTCCTGTATCTTTGCATGGAGAGTGACTTTGACCAGAGGGCGTGGTTGAGTGGTGCTAAACAGCAGCACACAGAAGCTGCAGCAGCCTCCAGTCCTGGACCCAAGGCCTGCCTGGGATTGTGAAACACACAAGTCAAAAAGAGTAAAGCCAAAACTGAGTGTGTGATTCAAACCTTAATCATTAACCTCCAAATGAGTATTTATTTACATCCACATCCCAGGAATGAGTATGTGTTTAAGATTAGTTGGACAAAACAGTGCCCTTTCAGACTATTGTGTGTGCTCTTCTGGTGAAATAAAGTTAAAATGAGAAGAAAAGGGGCACGCCTCTCTCAAACAGGACTGTTTCACTGTCCTCTTCGTGAGATTTAATCTTTACCAGATAGGACTGTAAAACAAAGAGACTTGCTATCACCTCAGGGTCAGGAGCTGACGCTGTTCTTAGACAAAACCTTAGGCAAAACCATGTCTTATGATTCGTATGACAAAATTATCTTCTTAGGTGGGTGTGTTTTTGCATCATGGTGGCTGGATGGGTTCTCACAAGCGCCTCTTGAGGTTTGAGGATAGTGGAAGAAACCCCCCTGTCAAATTGCTCAAGGATTTCAGTCTTTTCACTCAGTGAACAATGAGTCATTTCCATGCAGTTATTTGATCCTGGTTATGAATTGCAGAGGAAACTGGTGCTCATTTGGTGCTACTGGGGGCTGTCAGAATGATACTGGAAACCATCTACGCCCCATGTGCTGTGTCTGTGTAACCGGATTAAAAACATACCCAGCAGCCTGCAATTTGTGTATGAAGCCTGGCGGCTAGAAATACGACAAAATGGGTTAGCGTGATAAGGCCTAGGGAGGAGGCCCGTTTCTCTGACACACACACACACACACACACACACACACACACACACACCTATAAAAATGTGACCACACATTGAGGGAGAACAAATGACATGTGTCAGAGTGACAAAAACCGTGCATGCCCCCCCCTTTCATATGCTGCTCTTTGTGCTGAAAATCGCTGAGCTATACACACAGTGGTTTCCCTACATGCATGTGCTTGTCGCAACCCTGCTGAGCAAAATCCAAATATACAGCCGGTCAACAAAAGGATGGTGGTCTGCATGCGACCTTAACTAAACAGCATTACAACTCACCAGGCCCGCAGCCTGAACTCAAACCTACCTGCACTGCCGTAGGACTTTGCCAGTAGCCATCCGACACTTGCGCATATTTTTGCTTTAGTACAGTCATACAAATCCAATGGCTTAATGTCTGGGACCACAAAAGTCTTCCTCGTGTTGGGAGAGTCCACCATAGCGAGTCTGTAAAAAATGGGACGCGGTGCTGGCAGAAAAAACGCTACAAGACAGTATAAAAATATTCAAGCAATCATTTTTAGCTGACTATTCCAGCCGACAGGGGCTGCTGGGAATACTTATGTGGGTAAGGGTTGTGTCGGGAAAATATCCGCCCCGGAGCTGCTCCCAAGCCACTTAATGTCCTTTTCTTTGCGGTTTTTGGAGGCGAAGTCCTGTTAAATCATGCCTTGCGACCAAGCAAAGCCCCAATCCGCCGGGTTGTGAGTGAAAACCGGACAATTCCCCTCGTTTATGCCCTTATTCGTCCGCATTGCTGTTTAGTCAGTTCCCTGAACGCAGCTCCACTGAGAGCCCCGTCGATGACTGACTACCAGGTGCTCCACACTGGCATCACTCACTCATCCCGCCGGCCAATAGGATTTGAGCTCGGGCAAAGGGGGCGGGATCTCCCTGTGTGAACACGGACAGCAGGTGGAGGTGTGGTGTAACTTTTTCTACAGGTTCATCTGGCACACACACACAGGTTAACGCCTGAAGGGGCACCTTATAACTGGGAACCTCTGTACAGGGTCTGTGCCCAGTAGGCCCCTTAAATAATCCACCTATGTCTGTTTTAATTTTCAATTCATAGAAAGAGCAGGAGAGCAGTCAGTACAGTACACAATGTGGGGTACAGGGAACACACTGTTTTTAAAGTCACGTGTATTGACATTTTTTGATCTGGTCAAATTTAAAATTGCAATAATGATTTTTAATTACCCTTTGAAACCTGAGCGAATTGGCTTGATTTTATTTTTCAGAAACTTGGATAGAAGGCAATAAGAGATTCACGAAATGGACCGAACACTGGCAAGATGTTAAGTAAATTTAGTAACCCAGAAATTACCCATAAATAAGCTATTTTTATAAACAAACAAGTACCTAAAAATAGTCAAAAAAGAAAGATAAAAAACAAGAAAATTACCTAAAAAATAGACCAACAGAAAGATAAAAAACAAGAAAATTAACTGAAAACAGACCAAAAAAAGATAAAAAAACAAGAAAATTACCTAAAAATAGACCAAAAAAGAAAGATAAAAAAAAACAAGAAAATTACCTAAAAATAGACCAAAAAAGAAAGATAAAAAACAAGAAAATTTCCTAAAAAATAGACAAAAAAGAAAGATAAAAAAACAAGAAAATTACCTAAAAATAGACAAAAAAGAAAGATAAAAAACCCCAAGACAATTACCTGAAAATAAGCAAAGAAGAAAAGTAAAAACCCCAAAACCCCATAAAAATTACCTGACAAAAATTGCTAAATATTAAATTAAATAATATCTACATCTATTTTCTGTAACATAATTTTAGATATATTTAGAACATGACATTTCCCTTGTTATTTGATAATTTTCTAATAAACCTCATTGCTTGCAGTTTTTGTACTGGAAATTATCTTTGGCATAATTTTGTTAGTTCTTCATAGCATAGACATGGATTTTAGGGAGGTGATGCAGGTCAACATAAATTGATGCATAAAAATCTGGGGGAAGACCCTAAACCTCCCATATCACGTGTACCTCAAATGCTGAAACAAAACCTATGCCCTTACTTCATAGTTGACACTGTAACTTAACTGGATGCTGTCGGGCTGGTTCAAATAAAGTGGTGACTTGCCAGGATTTTATAGTAATGCTGCAATACTACAACTGTCACTAAAGTCACTACAACTGCATCCACCTGTGTAGTTCCTGTAATGTCTGCATTTACATTTAAAAAAGTTTCTCATTTTGGTTCCTCACACTTGAAAGCTGGAAGAATCGCGGTCTACGTTGTAGTACAAGAGTCGCAGACTGTAAAAATGTAGGCTTTTACCTTTGTGATTTCATTATCTCAAGTGGATGACCCTGGTTCAAAACCTTTCAACATCAGCCCCGCTGCACTGACCTGGGCAAACTCCATCAGCCTCAGGGGTGCTGCTGTAAATGACCCTGACCTCTGACCTCATGCAGATGAAAAACAAAGAAAAAGCTCAGACCTAAGACCACTGAAGCACCACATTATTGATTTTTGGAAAGCTATATAAAAGACATTTCTTAGCTTTTATATACCAGAGAAATAAGGCATGTTCAGAAAACAGTTACTGTACAGATACGGACATTTAAGAGACTGTCATAACCATGACAACGTGAGGTAGCCTCAAGTAAATACTGCTACATTTGTCCTGAAATCATATAGCCACATGCAACATATACATGTTTATTATTCCTGTATTTGTTCTTCTCTGTTGCCCAACAGCATGAAAGAAAAAAAGCCAGGCATATGATGGTCACATTATCAAGGAAGGGATAAATTAGATAAGAACTACTTACATCAGCTTGTGATTAAATAATCATTTAGTGTCTAGTATCTAACAGCAGAAATGTCAGAATCCTGCAGATGTGTTAAGCTGCTTATATACCTACTGCACCTTAAAAGTAGCTTGAAGTATATATAACAAAGCTGAAATGAGAGGAACAGAGTAAACATAGGCTACTTGTACACTATGTAAATCTATGCAGGCAGTTTCCTTCAAGTTGTTTTTGAAGTGCTGTTTCCAGCAGCACCATCCACATCGGAAAACAGAAATCTCAAGAGTGCCTCATCACATGATGTTGCTCAAAGTTCCACGAGCACTCCAAGTGCTCCACTGCAGTAACTTTGTAAGAGGATTACCTCTCAGCTATTTTAATCTAATTATGAAAGAAACAATTTCTTCCAAGTACTTTATTATTTCATTTAACTCTTGCTGGGTGGTAACAATTAAAGCATGAGGCATCTTGAATACTGATGTACATCTATATGACATTAAATCTTAAAAGTGATTCTCCCTGGAAACATACATTGCACATATGCGTTTCATGATGTCTGACTAAAGGAGTTTTGCATCCTTTACACAGCGAAAGTGAGATTTGAATGCTTTGCTCTTCTTTCAATAAAATGTTCTTTTCAAAAGAATGACCTTCTCTTTTCTCGGGTGCAGTTTCATCTGCCAGATTAACATCACTGAACTTAACAGGTATAAATCCATTTTTTAATTACAACTGTGTTCTCAGGACAACTTAACCAAAGTTTCAGACATTCAAAGAGACCAGCTTGTCAATTAGATTTGCTGGTACATAAGTCACAAACACTTATGCAGTGGCAAAAATGTTGTTGTATACCAAACACTGTCAGACTGCACTGGGTCAAGATATTGATATTTAAAAGGTGGCATACAGTATGTAAACAAATTATGAAATCTTTTCATTATCATGAGATTTTGCAAGACACCCACCTACTAGAGATCCCCAAGCCAACATTGTGAGGCTTGAATGCTCAGCTGCACGTTCAAATGAATGCCTTCTGTTGAATAACTATGCTCCTCCCCTCTGTTTTCTATGGCAGAGCTTCCTGTTAAAGCAAGATCTCTGCATTTATTAGGTGTACAACAGTGTTTTTACTGTCAATTCTTTAACAAAATGTTCATAGACATGTTTGAATATGTCAGACTTCAGTTACAGTTATTATCTGCCTCCAAATCAGTATGTCACAACAGAAAACTGCTCAATCGCACAATTAGCTTGAGCCTGATACTTGTGAAAGACTGACACCATATGGCCAATACTGACACAAGTTCATATCTTTGTATACTGTACTACAAAAATCCATCAGGAAAAAACACAGAAGGCAAAAACGTTGCCATCCTGTGTTTCACTCATGTCAAATTCTATTAAAGTAACATGAATACAACTAAGTAATTACACAAAGTTAAAAATGGAGCCCATTTGATGCCTACAAGAGAAATCAGCGAGGGAGGCTTCTTTCAGTCGTCTTTAAGCCCTCCAAAGACAGCTGTGGGGACACTCTTCTGTTCTAGCTGCACCTCTGTAAAAGGCCAAGAGAAGACATTTAACGCACATGTTTATAAATAAATGTGTGAAGTTCATTGTGTAAGATTTAGGGGCATCTATTGGCAGAAATGGAGTATTCATAACTATGTTTTTATTAGTTTATAATCACCTGAAAATAAGAATCATTGTGTTTTCGTTGCCTTAGATTAATACTTTTATATCTACATAGGTAGTAGGTCCTCTCCCACGGAGTCCCCCATGCCTACTCCCAGAACAGACAAATCAAACACTGACTCAAGATAGGGCCATTCCTGTTTTCATGTTATCGCCTTCGCCACTGTAGTTCTACATGCCATCTGCAACCACACCTAGATGCCACTAAATCCAGCACACTGAACCTTTAAACCTTTTATGTTCTGTTTTACTGATGAGGCTGTTGTGTCTCACCTTCTGGTCCCTGGTCGTCATCATCTTCATCCTCGTCATCATCATCAATGTCAATCTCATCAGGATTGGCTTGTTTGGAAAGCTCAGCCAACTCACTGCGAGAGGTGTCACTCCTGCACAGGGAGATGCAGAGAGTAAGATTTATGTGTCACCTTGTAGGCTGGAACACGAAGTCCAATTTTATAAAAAGGCAGAACCTTCACAGATAACTGATGATGATTCACTAGAGTAAAGGAAAAAAGACAAACCTGACAAAGAGAATCTTTTCTTTAGGCTTGGCTTTGTCCTGTTCGGCTTCTGCAGCAAGCTGCTGTGCTTTCTGCTCCAACATCTTCATGTCATCAATTCCCATTTGGCCTGGAGCGAGATCGGACACTGGATACAACATCAAATAAAAGGTTGGACAAACAGAGAAATATAAGAGAAGAATTAATACATTAGTTCTTGTACAGTTCTGCAGTGTAACCTCAGGATTTGGGACAAATATATGGCATCTGTAGGGCCCTACAAAATATGTTTGGTTTTTTTGGTTTTTTCCCTAGATTCTGTGTTTTTCCGCTTTAATTTTTCTGAATTTCGCACAATTAAATTGATTTAACACAATACTTTAAAGTGTTTCAATACAGTCCTAAAAGAAAACATTTCGCCCTTATGTAGACTACAGTGATTCACATCTGAACTTCATATTAGTCAATATTACTCTACTCTAAATTTAGCTGTTAGTGTCAAATTACTGTGTTTTTTGGATTACTTGGCACGAAGAAAATTTCAAAACTTCTACACGACTTTTCAAGGTCACATAATAAAATTTTCATGACCATTCACAATGTGTAAAACATACATTGCTCCATCCCCAAAATGCAGTTTAATTTAAAAGTAGTAGTAGCATGGGTGTGGAAACTGGGATTCACAGCTCCACATGGTAAATTACACTGTCATAACATTATTTTTCTCTTATTCAAACATGTCAGATTCAAACTCTATTCAAACATAATTCCAGCTAGCTGGCCTACATGAAAGGAGACAGAACACGTTGTCAAACATCATCGCATATTAGAACTAAATTACGTCAACATCTAGCCTACAGAAAATAAATTTTCCATTATGTTACATT